AGGGAGGGAAGAGAGATAAACACGGCACATTCGGCAGCACACGCGCGCACACTCAGTCATATAGTCCAGTCTTGTCTTTCGCGGTGTGTGACACTGCTGTTACAGCCGCTTGTTCAAGTCCGTGTCGCGTGGAATTTCAATAGAGCTTTTGTCGCCTTCTGTTGCAATGTCTTCTCTCGGGCACTTGACAGAATAGTGTCCGCAGACATTTGGCTGTTGTCGATGCGCGCAAGAACGGACGCCAGTGATTCGAATGGATGAGATTGCGATAAAGTAAATTATGCTGCGGCGGCATCCCGTGGGAGCTGTTATTCTTTCCTCTGATAGGATGAAAATGCCGCCGTAAAACAGGCCTGTGAAGCATTTAAAAAAGAAAAAGAAAACAATCAAAGACTAAGCCTTATACCGAGCCATATTCAGTTACTGTGTATCACTACGCGCGATACAGCGTATCGAATGTTTGTTTACGCTACACTCACGATTAAGCTTCATTCGAACAGCTCTGTTCGAGTGAAGAACTAGTGAAGCGCTAATCCGCTGCTTCTATTTTTTCTTTTCGTGCTCATAGGTTTTTAGCGCTGTACTTTATTAGAGGCTGGCTAAAGGAGAGTTGGTTTGAATCTTGTTTTGACATGTCCATCACCTGGAAGGATCAAAATATTTACGCGTGCTTTGACCGACTAGCAGCGAGCTATTATCTAATGTAACTCGGTTCTAGTTTTGTCTCTACGGGACAAATGAAGTTGCTTTTTCAGGGCACTCGAGAGTTATACAGTGTACGTGCAAGTTGGTTGGTTAGTCAAAACTTATCAAGAGTCCTGAGAGGTGCGAATAAACGCGGTGTGAGCTCATTCCTCGCGTATTTTTTTCTTTGTTATTTTAATGCGTGCTGATAAGCCATACGTAGTCATTAGGCTATCTTGCACGTATTCCTCAGTGGAAAACGTTCTCGAGTCCGGCCTCCGAGATTCGGTCGATGCGGCGGTATTCTGTCATCCCGAGTGCCTGAGCGCGAGAATTATGCAGATGCAGCAACGCGAACATCAGGTATCGTGTCCCATACTCCGTTAGTTCAATCGTATACTAGGCCACCCCCCCCCCCCCCCTTCAAGAAAATAAAAAGCTTTGATGTCATTTGGCCTAAAAAGATACTAATGCAGGACGGATTCGGTACACCGAGCCATTCCTTCGTTTCTCCATATCAGGGGCCTGAAACTCGCAGCCCATGTCTTCACAAAAAGATAAAATGCTTGTGACCTTGAAAATGGTGGCAGAATCATTTGCTCACCTATTACCATTATTAACGATTTACTCGGGTAAGCCAAAGCGACGAGACTAGTTTCGAGAATCTATTCCATGAGTCTCTCCATGCGGTCATCACGGGTTCAAGCCTGACCGAGCAACAAATTCTCTAAATTTCGCGACGGGTGTACCAACTTGAGTTATGCGGAAAACCAGTAAGCGTATGTTTCAAATCTTGGCATCCAGGAATGATTCACGAATGATATATGGGAAATGCGTCCTTTAGAATGGCAGTCTTTCGTGACATTCCGCTCTGCCCCTCCTTCAACTTTCTTCTCTGTCCGGGCCCTTGCGGAAATAAGATTTCTGTCCGCGGCCTGCCAGGTGATGAGAAGTTTGAGAAGCCTGCTCTGCATCATCCTATAACCGTTGGTATATTGTGATCTGCTTCATCGCTTACTAATAAGCACCCTGTAAAAGTTACGTATTGTGCGCAGCACCTCTTGGAAACTCCAATAACGCTAAAAAAAAAACAAAGAACTTCCCACGAAAACAAAAAACAAATTGAAAACAGCCCAAGACACTGGATGTTCCCTCCCTATGTCATGTATCTCTAGTGCTAAAGAAGGTCCCACTGTACCTGGTCATAAACGTTTTCGTATCGTATCGTAAACACTTTTTAACAATTGAGTGTTCTGAGAATAAACACTTTCGTTTCGTATTGTAACTGTACAGATTTTTAACAAGCGAGCTATGTGTAAAGGAGCGACGATTGCATAAGAGCGACGATTTGCTCGCAGACGATCCTGGTCGGCGACAGCGGAGTGGGGAAGACGTCGTTGCTGGTGCAGTTCGACCAGGGAAAGTTCCAGACGGGCTCTTTCTCCGCCACAGTGGGCATCGGCTTCACGGTGAGTTACGCCGTCATTGGCACAAACTGCGCGCACTCCATGACTCACGCATTCGGCAACAGCAAGACAAACAGTCCGTTAAAAAAATGATTCCTCCGAAATGCGTAAAATGCTGTGCCAGTTGATAGATGTCTACAGGTTAGACGAAAAAAAAAAGACATTGCAGGAACCTAAAGAGAAAGACAAAGTGCCTACCGAAATCTATTGTCTGCAGTGGTGGCCCATGAATCTAGTCTGCAGAGTAGTGGAAAACAATTCTATAGCCATATCCGAACATAATTTGAAAAATTCTAATTTAGCACTGTTCACATTAAAATATTTTATGAACGCATATTCAAAAGCACTTAAAGAGTCGGATCTGCACTCGCCAACAAGGAAAAAAAAAGATATCAATCGGCGGAGCAGGTTGTTATCACAGTTTTATTGATAAGATAATTTGTTGCGAGAATGCATCTTAAATGTTTGCCTCAACTTCGGAAGCATAGACAATGTGCCTGCGGGATCGCCCTCATCTCACAGTTCGTGCTGGTTGAGCGGTTTTCACATTAACCTGTCGCATTAAATGCTTGAAGTTGCACGTTAACTGTAAGACATAAGCGTCGCAACCTACGCTGCTCTATTGACACGTGAACTAATCCCGTTCCGTTCTGTGTCAGCACACACAAATTTTATGGTAGCCTATGTACAGACCGCACAATAACGGGGTCCAATTTGATACATGAATCAGCGCAAAAAAAAAAAACAACAACAAAAAACACGTGACATGAACGAAAATTTATGACCAGTGAGGAACATTCTGCTACAATGTGGCTTATACTGGCACATCTACATTGACTATTAGGACAAAGCGTTGCCGCTACGCTATGAAGTTTAGCGTCAACGATAACCTGAGCGCAACGGCAGTGCAGCTTTGAGGAAGCGGAAAATCTATCTCGTCACTGAAAGGGAGCGTGGAGTACAACCATTTTTAAGAGCATCTTGCCTGGATATATCGAAAGATTGTGTGATACGGAGCGTCCGAAATATAACTGAATGAAATCATCTCCTCCAAAATACGTCGGAATTACACCCCCCCCCCCTCCATCCTGTCGTAATTCAGGGCGCGCACTATACACCCCAAAATAAGATAACTGTCGGAATTCGCTCTAATTAACGTGTGTCATGTAGTTACCTATAGTTTGTGCATCGAAATATAAAAAAAAGAGTTGAAAAAAAACATAATAAAAGAAATGCTAAAATATTCACGTGTGGCTTCACCGCAATGTGACTCATATTGCCACGAAGCTAGCTTTTGATGTGATTTATGCATAAATTGGTTCCGGTAATGTTGACGTGTGGCTTCACCGCACAGTGGCTAATATTGCCGTGAAGCTAGCTCTACAGGTAATTTATGTGCAGGTTCGCTATCGTAATGTTTGACCACTGGCATTGTAAAAATAGTGATAATTACGCAAGGACAGGCTGAAGCTTGCGTTTCATTCAGATTGTATGGTGGTAGTGTGACGTCATACCGGAATTTTTCGCTCGCGTCACGTCGCCCAGATTCGTTCAGGTCCTAGTAGACTCTCTCATCTTAGATGCTCTCAAAAACAACACTATAAATGTCATGAAGATATTGCAGAAGTTCTACCAAAACTTAAGGAGGGGGAGGGGTGCACCTGGTTGGCCTTTTTTGTTTCTCTTTATATTTATTTTTTCTTTTCTATCTTTCTCTTTCTTCTGTTGTCCTGATATCTCCTTTTTTTATCTGTCCGTTTCTATTGATTTATTTTTTGCTCTTATTTTTCTTGTTGTTTCTCCTTCCACATCGCTCTCTGTTTTTCGATCTTTTTTGCGTCTGTCTCTTTTTAATACTGTTCTCTGTCTTTCTATCTTATTATCTGTTTATTTCCTTCATTTCTTTCTATATTTCTCATTTTTTTCCTTATCCCTCTTTCGCTGTGCAGTTGCTTTCTTTCATTATATGTCTCCCCTCCACTTTTTTCTACTTTCTGAATATTTTTTTTCTTTCTTTCGTTTGTTCGTTCGTTCTTACTTTCTTTTTTCTATCTATAGCTCTCAGTAATTCTCTTTCTGTCATGCTCTCTGCTTTTCTCTCTCTTCATTGTATGTGTTTTCTGTGTCTTTCTGTCCCTATGTATATGTTTATTTCTTAAATAAAAGTTAAAGTTCATGCTAAATAAAACACAGTAGGAGTATACAATATAAACCTGTCGTAACGTAATTATTACAATAAGCTGCAAATATTCTAGGTAAGCAGAGAGAGAGAGAGAGTTATGTGACGGAGAAACGCAGGGAAATTAAACGAAAAAAGGAATACCTGGTTGGCTACCCTGCACTGAGGAAGGGGTAAGGAAGCAAAACAAACCGATAACCAAAATGGCTTTGATATTCGAAAAACGAATATTACAAAAACAAAACAATACACTAGCTAAACAGAACCTGAACCGCTTCCACCACCGAAGCCTCAGCGTCTGCCACTGCTCCAGGTTTCTCTTAAAAAAATAACATCGAAACATGTCGAACAAGCAAGGCATCTGCATATGCTTGCAGGTTTATACAAAAATATCAGAGCGCGTATTTAGCTGAACGAGTGGCTTCACCATCGGCCGCAGTACGTCAATCTTGGCGCGCTTTGAAAGCTTTGCTGCCACTAAAGTATCTAAAAATTTTGCTGCACTGTACGCGCTTGCTGGCGCCATCTAAACTCGGAAAGTTGAACATGAGGTTCAACATCGACGCACAAGGTAGCGCCGCCCTCGCACAAGTTTCGTTTTCGCGTTAGCGTCGCTAGCGTCTCGTAGTGGCGGCGGACGTTCCAGCTGCTTCAGCTGTGGGCCCTCGACATCCCGCTGTTTTTTCGTTAATGGCGCTAACGGCCCCATCGTGTCGCCGCGGTTGCCTGAGCGTCTGCTCGTAGCAGCGTCGTCGGCGGAGCTCCTCCCACGCAGGCCCGACCAGACGACGCGCGGAAGTCGTGGCGTCTGCTACGCACGCCTCCTAGCTACGCTTTTCTGCGAGAAAAAAGTTTTCGTGCGACTCGACTCGGTGTGTGGTGTGTTTCTTTGTCGCTCCGCAATTGACCTGTCGTCGTCGTCGTGGAGGGGGCCACTAGTGCGTGCGCCGTGAGGTTCGACGAGATGTCGAATCCGGCGTCGCCCGTGTCGAGGACTTCGACGGCGCCCAGCTCGGGTCGCGCGTCGCCCGCCGGCCCCGCGGTCGCCAACGGAAACGGACCCGCGCTTCGACGGGCCATGCTTCGCCATTCGTCCATCAGCAGCGTGGAATTCTACGACGTCGCGTTCAAGGTGAGTGCTTGTCGACATAACAGCTGCTGCACGATTCTGCGTTTGCTGCTACGCGCCTGTATATAGTACTGTACCTTTCCTGCTATTCGGAAGAGGAAAGCAGCGAAAAAGACACTTGTAATAGCAAGTAGTGTCGTGCTGCTATAAGCTCGAGGGCGCGGGTACGATTCCCGGAAACGCGGCCGCATTTTGACGGAACTGAAATTAAAAAAAAAAAAGCGCGTGTGTTCTTGAATCAAGGAACCTCAGGTGATCGAAATTTCCGGAGCATCCCCCCCAACGTGGTATTTCTAATAACGATATCGTGCGTTTGGGACGTATAACACCAACAAATATTATTAAACTAGCGAAAACAACAACACCGACATCGATGACAGCTGTCAACCAGACAGGACAAGACTTAAAACTAAATATCTGTAGAAGAAAGCCGCCGCACACGTGAACCAGAAGTGCACGCTTATAAACAGGCTATCTGAGCCGTTCCAGAGTTGCTCACCTACTAAGTCATGTAACTTGTTGTTTGTACGACATTGACGTGTTTCATAGGCTTCGACTGATACGCGCGAAACTTTCACACGGCTGAGATGGTCCATTTACGCATGCGCTGATGGTTCGTGTGTGTAGGACTTCAACAAACGTTTACTTTTAAGTACAACCTTTGTCCGGCACCCCGCCGCGGTGGTCTAGTGGCTAAGGTACTCGGCTGCTGACCCGCAGGTCGCGGGCTCAAATCCCGGCTGCGGCGGCTGCATTTCCGATGGAGGCGGAAATGTTGTAGGCCCGTGTGCTCAGATTGGGGTGCACGTTAGAGAACCCCAGGTGGTCGAAATTTCCGGAGCCCTCCACTACGGCGTCTCTCATAATCATATGGTGGTTTTGGGACGTTAAACCCCCACGTATCAATCAACCTTTGTCCGGCCTGGCTCTTTCTCGCTGTGTGCGTTTTAGTTTCGCTACGTCTCCGCTTCCGAATAGCGCTTGTAGTGTTCTAGGGTCGTTTTCCGATGTGACCGCTGCATAGCACACGCGTTGCTTATCGATCGACACTGGACTATAAATCGCCAGCCTGTTTCGCGGGGTGTCAGCGTGGGTGACCGTATGGAAGGCTTCCTGCTGCACAGACCATGCTCGCGGCAAACGGTCGGAGAGTGCGAAGAAGCCCGGCACAGGAACACGCAAAACTCACGTTCTCGTCACACTTGTCAAAATGCACGGGGAAAATTTACGTGCAGTACAGGCGGAAGCGCGCTTTTATAGTGCGGTCGAGCACGCGGCTGTGGGCGCCGTTGTTGTCCGCAGTTGCTGCCACACCTTAGCTATACGAGTTTTCGATCGTGCTAGAATTATAGCTCGAGGACTTAGCACGCAGTTTGACTACTTTAGGTATCGTTTCGGTGATTGCAGATTTCAGCAGAAAGTGGCAAACTGGTGAAGCCAGCTGTGGGCTCTACACATGCGTGATTCTTCTGTCTTTGCAAATCAGGATCATGAAGCCTTTTTCGAGGAGTGCATATTGTGCCGACCGCCCGTATGTCTTAGTCTTCTGATAGCAGCAATGACTATGTGCCGATATTCAAAAATGCACAGTGTACTGATATACAAGCCAAACATCGGCTGAGAACCCGAGGCAATCAAAACTCTGACGTCACGCGCATTATCCCCTCGCTACGCCACCGAATTCGAAAAGATAACAGTCGTCCTGTCACGTGACTGTAACCAGCCAATCAGCTAGGACAAACTACTGGCGTTATCATGCATGGCGCTTGCCATGCCGGCAACGAATATTCACCCCTGATCTAGCTCATATTCAAATGTGCTGAGCTCTAGCTAATATTTAAATGTGCGGAGCGATTTAGGCGAAGAGCTGTCATATGTTGTGATCATGTTTCTTCGTTGACGTTAAGCGTAAACAGAAGGGCTCATCCACATTTTGCATAGCCAGCTGGAGCGTGTTGAGCGCGCACTCGCGCCCAACAGTGACCTCTTTTCTATTTTTTGAGCGCCTAGATGATGGTATTAAGTGTGAACATTACTACTATTGGCTAACTAATAAAACGCGACAACTCCAATCACGTGTAACAATTGAAAGAGGAAGCGAGCGAGAAATAGCAAAAAGCAGCAGCATTACCACGAAGTGAATGATGATCAGTATGCGAAGCTCCGGGGGTCATTCGGGTTGTCGTGAATCCCTTCGTACATTGTCCACTCGAACGCGCGAATGACTGACAACATGTCTGCACAGTGCGTACAATTTCGTTTTATTGGTCGTCGTAAAAAGGGTCAACCCCACGAGAGCCTTTCGCAAATCGGAGCGCTTTCGCGATTGTTTTTCTTCATGGCAGAAAGAGATTTCATCTTCATTGTCATGAGCGTCATCGTCATGGCGTGTCACGATGGACGGCGGACAATGTCGACTCTAAAGAGCTTCGCCCCTAAAAGAGAAAAAGAACGAAAAAAAAGGAAGAAAATGATAGATAAAAAAACAAAGGGAAAAAACTGAGGAAAAGTAGAAGAGAAAGAAATAATGAGAGGAGGAAGGAAAGAGAAAGCCGGAGAGGAATAAAAGGTCCGTTTGATTCGCCTGCATTACGTGAACCAGTTCACGACGTGCTGCTCCCTGCCATTCGTTTCGCCGGTGCAGCATTGACGACCTCCGAACCCTGCCGTTCTTTTCGAAAGGGGGCAGAAGAGGTGGAGCACTGGTTCACAATTTTCCTGCCCCCCCTACGCTGACGGTGCCGGCTTGGTGCAGCCGCGCGTGCCCTTGAGCAGACGGCCCCTAACTTATGCATAGGCGTCGTATACTGCCTCTATACTAGTGTGTTTTGCCAAGATGTTTGCACCTCGTAAACTGTTCACATGTGCGGTTTGCTATCGGTCAGTGATAGTTGAACGGTGTAATTTGAGCGAACTCAAATATAGGGCCTGCACCTTGTCGGCGTATCGTCATTCGGCTGTGCCTGCGCCGCTTAACTCGCGCTGCACAATTTCTGCTGCACAGCCGTGCATCAATTCCGTGCACGTGAATCCAACGGACCAGAAGAAAAACTGCCGACTTTCTTCAGGCTTTGCAATAATAAGGTGAAGCTGCTTTTACCTTTTCTTTATGCATTTGCTCGTACATGTTACTGTTAAATGTGCATACGTCATTACGTGATGTGATACTCGGGTACTATATACGCTGTCTCCATCAATATGCCACGTCGCGCATGTGATGGTATATTGCGCGCGTTAAGCCAAAGCGCTACAGCATGAACTTTGGCCTAATTATTATTCGTATGAATGACCGTCACAGCTTCGCGTTTGATATACATCGCCCGATCGAGACGTTGACAATTAAGTGTCAATTAGAGTTGAGTTAACTTTGCCTACGTCATCGGAGACGTGTACACTGCAGGGACGGACGTGTAAGGAGGACGTGCTCTATTGAAGTTTCAGTCAGAAGTGTTGAAAGATATACACAAACACATTAGAAAGCTATGATATTAAGAATCAATCAACCGCAAAATGAGTATGCATATAAAAAAACGCTGAGCACGCCTGTAAGCCAGCAGATTAAATTATATCAAGGTATTCTACCTTGCGGCTAGACAGTGCAAGCGTATACAGCACATGCTTATGCACGAAACGCTTTAGTGATGTAGACGGCTTCGACAATATCTCGAGTCCCCGGATCTCGGTTTGAAAACGAATCGAGATCATGAAACACGCCGGAATCATGCTTCTGAAACGCGAATAGTCACCATTCCGCCGCGGTGGTCTAGTGGCTAAGGTAATCGGCTTCTGACCCGCAGGTCGCGGGATCGAATCCCGGCTGCGGCGGCTGCATTTCTGATGCAGGCGAAAATATTGTAGGCCCGTGTGCTCAGATTTGAGTGCACGTTGAGGAAGCCCAGGTGGTCGAAATTTCCGGAGCCCTCCACTACGGCGTCTCTCATAATCATATGATGGTTTTCTTGGGACGCTAAACCCCACATATCAATCAATCAATAGTCACCAAACTCAAACGCATATGCACGCAGGATAAAACAACATACCCAGGAAGGGGCGTCCTGGCTATAATCTTTCAGAAGGGCCGGTCGATCTAAAAAAAAAACTCGGTAAACTCTTGCAGGAACTCCTTCTGTGACGTCGCATATTGACGATGTTGTAAAATTCTATCCTCCGACAGAGGTTCGTTATCCAATTTGGTGAGCGTGTTGCGAAGGCAATAGTCGCTGTGCATTTCCAGAGTTCTCTATACTATACGGCGTCTCTCGTAATGTTATCTTGGTTTCGGGAAGATTACCCCCAACAGCAATGATTAGTTGTTGTATGTTGCTTGTTATTACACGTTCCATTGTCTGAATCCATTCCATCCTTTCGTTTTGTGTATAAGTACACGTGAGCACTTACGCAGCGCCCTGCCTTGGTGCGCACGTGGTTGACCGCGTGACCCGTTCGTACCGACCGATTTGTTGTGAGTTGAGAGACAGTGATTTTCCGAACAATGCTCAGCGCTTATATATATATGACGACTGGCGACGACATCTGTAGAGGCCAAAAAGAGAGGAAACAGCTTACTTTCATAAACGCCAAGCACACAAAGTCAACCGCGTTTCACTTTTTTATAGGGCAGAAATGAACACGGACGAAAAGCGAGGCGGATCGACTTCCAACAGATGCTTTCTTTTCCACACGCGCACGAACGCACGCACGCACACGCGCACACGCACACACGCGCACACGCACACACGCACACACGCGCACACACACGCACGCGCACACACACACACACACACACACACACACACACACACACACACACACACACACACACACACACACACACACACACACACATTCAAGTAGCCAGGCACTAATCGAAACTGTCGAAATAAACATTTCCGTTGTTACTGTTCTCACGGATGATCTACTGGACTATTTGCAATGCTCTTCTTAACCTGCTAGGCACTTGTCGCCTTCGAAGCCAATTTCGAGCCTGAGGTGCAAAGATTTTG